GCTTGTTAATGTGGCTCGGGAAAGAGAAGTTTGGGGTTCCCTGCTGGAGCTGCTCCCCCCGCGACCCGATCCCGGATAAGCGGACGAAGATGGATGGATGGAACTTAAAAGGTGAAACTAATATTATATAGACTCATTACATGCAAAGTGAGATATTTCAAGCCTTTATTTGATATAATTTCGATGATTATTGCATACAGCTTATGAAAACCCCAAATTCAAAATCTCATAAAATTAGAATATTACATGAAATCAATAAAAAAAAAGAAATTTAAAAAAAAAGCATTTTAAATACAGAAATGTCAGCCCTCTGAAAAGTATAATCATGCATATGTACTCAGTACTTGGTTTGGGCCCCTTTTGCATGAATTACTGCCTCAATGCGGCATGACATGGATGCTATCAGCCTGTGGCACTGCTGAGGTGTTATGGAGGACCAGGATGCTTCAATAGCGGCCTTCAGCTCTTCTGCATTGTTCGGTCTCATGTCTTTCATCTTTCTCTTAGCAATGCCCCATAGATTCTCTATGGGGTTCAGGTCAGGCGAGTTTGCTGGCCAATCAAGCACAGTAATCCCATGGTCATTGAACCAGGTTTTGGTACTTATGGGCAGGTGTCAAGTCCTGCTGGAAAATGACTCTGACTCTGGACTTAATAAAGCACAGTGGACCAGCAGATGGCATGGCTCCCCAAACCAGCACAGACTGTGGAAACTTCACACTGGACTTCAAGCATCTTGGTTTGTGTGACTCTCCATTCTTCCTCCAGACTCTGGGACCTTGGTTTCCAAATGAGATGCAAAATTTGCTCTCATCAGAAAAGAGGACGTTACAAAAAAAGAACTGGTCTGTTTCTCAGTGGTCCAAAGACCACTGAGAAACAGACCAGTTCTTTTTTTCTTTAGCCCAGGTAAGACGCTTTCGACGTTGTTTGTTGTTCAGGAGCGGCTTGACAAGAGTAATACGACATTTGAAGCCCATGTCAAGGACCCGTCTGTGTGTTGGCTCTTGATGCAATAACTCCAGCCTCAGTCCACTCCTTGTGAAGTTCCCCCACACATTTGAATGGCCTTTTCCTGACAATCCTCTCCAGGCTACGGTCATCCCTGCTGCTTATGCACCTTTTTCTTCCACACTTTTCCCTTCCACTTAACTTATTAATGTGCCTTGATACAGCACTTTAAGAACATCCAACTTCTTTTGCCATTACCTTTTGAGGCTTTCCCTCCTTGTGGAGGGTGTCAATGATGGTCTTCTGCACAACTGTCAGGTCAGCAGTCTTCCCCATGATTGTGAATTCCACTGAACCAGACCGAGAGACCAATTAAAGGCTCAGGAACCCTTTGCAGGTGTTTTGGATTAATTAGCTGATTAGAGTGTGACACTTTGAGTCTACAATACTGAACCTTTTCACAATATTCTAATTTTCTGAGATTTTGAATTTGGGGTTTTCATAAGCTGTAAGCCATAATCATCGAAATTATATCAAATAAAGACTTGAAATATCTCACTGCATGTAATTAGTCTATATAATATATTAGTTTCCCCCTTTTAAGTTGAATTACTGAAACAAATTTTTCACCTGTAAGTCTACTGTAAATGAGCATGTTTCTCAAAATTTAATACTATTGTTTTAAATTATGAAGAACTTTAAATGAAGGCAAAATAAGTTTTTCATTTAGGAAATGCTGCAACTGTTTTGCATGAGAGACTAATTAAAAATGTAACAGCATCTTCCCACTATGCGCCCGCCACAGCAGCATTGTTGGTTCGGTAGCCATTACCTTTGTTTGTTACCTTTAATGCCTCTCCTCCAGGCCCATGGCTATCATATTGATAACTTTACCCCATAAAACCAACAAGGTTTAGAAGCCAAATAGTCTCACTAGTTCTATATGCATCTGTTTTCCTGCATTGCTCAGCTGAAGCAATTTTGCTGTGTCTGCCAGGACTAATAGAAGTCCATACCCCCTGCTCTCACCACCGCATGACTTCAAACCACTTTTTCCCCCAATTTATATTGCTAATTTGTACATTTTTTTTCTGGGAGACCTGTATGTTACCCACACTAGCAAAACCTCTACCTGCTGACTCCAGCTCACACCTTCATTTATATTTCATGTGTATTCATAAACAGTGGCCTGTGGTGAAGTATTAATACGATTATCACAGGAGAAAAGTAGTATCGCAGTGGGCGTCAGGAAAGCACAGAGTTTGCAGGATGCCCTGTTGAGATATAGAGAAAGAGAGATCAGCAGGATAAATTTTTCTTTGTAGCAGTGTTTGATAAAATGTTGATGAGGTTTCAGTCATTGCAGGGAACTAGTCTGACAACAGCATACTTATGTAGAGGCACCAAGAGAAAGATGCAGGTGAACTTGATTTGAGTTTTATTGCTTTTACTGCTCATACACACATTGTCTGTTCCTCTAGAACAAATTAATAGAGTAGCACTTATACACACATGCAACAAATAACCATGTAGGCACGCACACACACACAGTCACCATTAACTCTATATTTCATCATCAAAGACAAACCCTCTTCCATTCCCAGGATACTTGGTGTTTCTGTTCGCTTCTCATCTGTCCGCTTCTGAGTCTGAGCAGGACACACACTGACACAAACAAACATACACACACGTGCTGTACATGCGCGCGCACACACACACACACACACACACACACACACACACTTGATGTCTGGATGCAAGACACAAGCTGATCTTTTTCCTCCCTGTTTCCTTTTTTCTTTCTCTTTTTACAATGGCACATTGAGTTAGTGCTCCATCACGCTTTGAAGGCACAATGTTTTCCAAAGTAGCTTGGCTAGTGTCAGAAAGCCCCTTTTCAGTGGCATAAGTTGCAGTAGCGTATTGCTGTGTACTGACCTAATTTGATTTAGCAAAAAAGGGAGAGGTGCTCTGGAGATCAAAAGCTTTAAAAATGGAAAGCAGAGTGAAGTCCTTCTCCCTCGTCTTTCCCCTGCATCTCTTTTTGAAAGCCCACATAACGCTGTAGTCTCCCTAATTTCTCCAGGATGCAACGACAGGTGGGAGGCATAATTTTCATAACAACAAAAGACAGCTGTCTCAGTAGAACAACATACTTTGTTAGGAAAATAGCAACAAAACAAAACAATAGGTCTTCTTTGTTGACAGGATACATAGTTGTAAGACCAGGCTGAAATAAAATGCAGATGAATCTGTTGGCCATCTCTGCATACAAAATGGATCATGGACGGTGTGAAGAAGAATCTCTTAAACTCCCTTCATTTTTCTTTCTTTCTCTCTCTCATCCTAAAGAAAGATGAAACCCCTCCACAGCTTTTTCATTGTCAAAGAAAAACCCGTGGAAGTCGGGAGATATGTAAAGACAGAGCCTTCACTTTGACGTTAAGATTTCCCTCACCTCATTCATTCTTAAAGCCGCCTCACTTTTAAAGGCCTTATTTGCGTCCCGTGAAGTATTTATATTTACAAGCAGACTCCCGGCTATTACTTATGCATGCTGTTGCCATCTTGTTCAATAATTCACAACGCATCCTCACCAGAAGGGACACGGCAGGCATGGCCGTGAGAGCTCTCTCCCTTTCAGGATTTTTATTTCCCGGCAAATTCTGCAGGGGGCAGAGGAAAGATGAGGCAATAAGAAGGATTGTTATTCTACCTTCAACTCTTCAGACATTAACCGCCGCTGTAGTGCTACTAAACAACATGTTTTGTTTGCTTTGGCAAGGGTTTATTTGAATGTGTTCAGAATTTTTTAGGTGGGTGGAAGACGTTTTAAGGCTGGCAGTCAGTGGCTCTTTGTGAGAGCTGCCTTGCAAATGTTTGCTGATAAAACATAATTTCTGTCTATTTTTCTATTGGCACATCATGGCAGTATTACTCATTCTGTTAGTGAAGTTCAAGGTTTAACAAGCAGTGTAATTAATAACTTATTAAAATTCATGACACTAGCATACTTTCCATGGTTAGATAAAGCTCCGTTCTCAGCTGCAGAAAAAATGTTTATCACTTTGCTTCACCTGTCCTCAATGACAATGCCAATAAAGTCTGTGCAAAACACAGCCAGTGCACTGAAAGTGGCAAATCTCACACCGTGTTTGTTTTCTTTTCACACGTCACCTAGAAGCATAAGTACAGTAGCACCACACAACCTCCTACAACACCTCTGCCGTCTTTAATGCACACCTCTAACCTTTAGCTTTAAAATCACGCAAACACCATTCCCTGAAAACATATGTGGTTGTAATGTGGTGGGTCAGTTAAGGTGAAAATGCCAGTGATGTTAATGTGTAAATTCATGCCCATTATTTCACACTAGACTAGAGGCCAAAAGAGCACCCCATTGTAGATGAGCCTCTCCACAGCCCTGAGCTGAGATTTCCTTTTTACTCTTCACAGTCAGCTGCAGGTGAGAGACTGAAAAGACTGTGTTTAGAAGCAGGTGACTGCAGAGCTAACCCAGCCATTACTAACCCTCTACTCAAAGCCTCTTTCAATCAAAGCGCCGCACTGACTTTGGTCATGTTGGTATTTCCCACGTTTTTATATGTATGAATATTGAAGGCTCTCACACTCTTTTGCCCTCGGGCGCTTAGTACAGACATTCACTTCTCAAACAAGTACCTTGGCCTACCTTTAATGGGTTATAGATTTAGCTTAGTGAACACACAATATCGCCTCAGGAGAGCATGCCATGATAAACCTGATGGAAAGGTAATGGGATGGATCAGTGTGCGCACATAAATGTTGCATAACATCGAGCACTGTTTGAGATATTTACTGTGTGATGACTAACTTGAGGTTTAGGGGAATAAAAAAAACATACTGTTCCGGTCAGCTGTTGGGTAGAATTGTTTTCGCTCATCACAGAAAAGATTCTCAGCAGGACTCACTGCAGCTCGCCTTACCCTGAAAACATCAACAGAACTCTGTTTCTCATGCTGTGTGTGTGTGTGTGTGTGTGTGTGTGTGTGTGTTTGTGGATCTGCCAGGTTTATACAACTCGGCAGACAGCTGGATGATCGTACCAAACATCAAGCAGAACCACTACACGGTGCACGGCTTGCAGAGTGGCACCCGTTATATCTTCTTTGTCAAGGCTATCAACCAGGCAGGAAGCCGCAACAGTGAGCCAGCCCGCCTCAAAACCAACAGTAAGTGAAGGCACATGTGACACTTGGGCCTGTTTTTCTATGAATATTTACAAGCCTTGTTAACTTTGTTTTTTGATAGTTAATACAATTTAAAAATGTTCTTCTTTCTGTGTCATTTGTGCAACATAATTTACAGGCTGTAATTGCATCTCCCAGGGGGTTCTCTTTGATTTATAAATGAGTGAAGGATAAGTAGCAGATTTACAACAAATGACAGATTTCTGTTACAGTCACATTTTAAAGCATGTTATTGAATGTTCCATGACAGCTTTTAAGCAGCTGACCATTGATTTTAAAAATGCATCTTACTGAATCATGTAATGCTTCCCAGAAGGTGCGGTGTCATTGTCCACTGTGCGATGTATTGAATTAAGAAGCTGCCAGATTGACAGTTTGACAAATGATAACACACCTTGACTTAATTCACTACTGCTTCTTTAGTTCAAGATTTTTATTATATTATTTAACAAGAGAGTAACACAAACTAGCCTGACTTGCATTGGGTTGACCAAATGGATGGTACAGTGGATAAGACACATGCCTTTGGTGTGAGAGACCCAATGTGTCCCTGAACAAGACACTTAACCCCTAGTTGCTCCAGAGGCGTGCGACCTCTGACATACATAGCAATTGTAAGTCGCTTTGAATAAAAAGCCTCAGCTAAATGAATAAATGTAAATGTAAAATGACATGTCATCTTAATGGTGTGTTCCATTTACCTCGGAAGTCAAAGATCAGGGCTGGGAATGACGTCACACCCGCGTTGATGGCGTTCCGAATACAAGTCGGAAAACCTCGTTCGGCCAGCCATTGTTTACAACTAGCCAGGTTAGCTATTGTTACGCTGGTTGATTTATAAAAAAAAAAAAAAAGCATTGTGCGGTATTAACTCATACTAACAACACTGTAGCTACACGTCCACAGACAGCAGTTGGGACAGCACTTTGTGTACGAAAATTTTTATGAGACACAAGTACACAAGAGTGCTAAAAATAAGTATAAACTACAGCTTTCACTAACTGTTGATACTCAGAGCATCCATCTTCGATCTTACCGTGTTTGATGTTTTTTTATAACCAACACTTTAACCCTCAAGTTTACCATCTTTATTTTTCTTTATTTACCCCAGTATATTAGTAGCAAAATTTGCTAGCAGGACCTTTGTCAAGGTATCTTTGATTTGGCTTCAATCATATGAGAAAGTGTCAGTTGCTGAATTTTTGGTCGTATTCATGATAATAGGAATAGCAGAGTTCAGTAAACAGTGCATATAAGAGCTTCTTTCTTTCTTTATTTGCCTCTTTTGCACACCTGTGAGCTTGACGACTTGTAATGAGTTCTGCACTTCTGGACTCACTTACCACTGCAGATGTTGAACTCACATACTTCTCTTTCTTTTTGTTTTCTGGTTGTTTCTCTCTCTTGCACTCTCTCTCTCTCTCTTTCTCTCTGGTTGTCTTTTTGACAGCTTCTCTTCTTCGATAGTCCTTGTTCCTGGCACATATACAGTAGTTTTTTTTTTCACTTTAAAAATATTATGTTTAAATGACAATTCCTCTGCATGTGTCTTTCTTTTTTATCCCCCCCTTTCTCTCTCTCTAAAGTTGGATTCTCTGCTGGAGAATCTTGGCCTTGAACTCTGTTTTATATGCTTCTCCTTGTCTGTAAAAGTACACAGTAAAAACAGAAACTAAAGACAGAAACATGAACAAAATGTGAGTAAATAAATAACTGAAATGGAAAAAATGAGAAAAAACAATATGCATCCAGAATTAATATTAACAAAAAAAACATGCAAACAGGGGTCACAGGTACAGCATAACAAACAGATTCTGGTTCAAGTAAAAGGCGTTTTTTAATGTGCCTTTTAAAATTATTGAAGAGGGAAAATATGTCTCTAGAATGTCAGATCACAGTCAACTGGACTGGGACTACTTAACTATTTCTCACCAGCATCTCAGGCTCTGCTGTGGTCTATATAGGGTTTAAACCTCGGCAATATAGCTAATTTAGGATGTGACTCCCGGGTGCTCAATAAAATTTTTAAATCTGTCTTAAATTGCAGCAGTAGCGCAGTGAAGCTAAAATGGACTTAATGTGCCAACTCCTCGTAGCTGCTGTCAGGAGTCTGGCTGTGGTATTTAGGATTAGCTGTAATCTAGATACACTGTGCTAGGTAAAATAGGTGTGTGGGAAACTGCAGTAGTCTGTGGATGACCTCTCTCTCTCTCCTCAGTCACTGACTCAAACACACACCCACCAGAGTTTGAAGAAATATACTTGTTAGCAGATGGATGACAAGGGGATTGACCAACCTAGGTCCATGCACACCTCAGTGTCCAAATATGTGACTAAGCCCTATGTTTTGCTCTTTGTAATTATTTATGCCTTTTATCCTCATCTAAACAACAATATAAACCTGTCACCTCTGGCTTCAAGATGAAAGACTGAGCACAAAAATAAATACAACCGTAAATTTACAACAAGACTTTGTTCGCTGGACATTAACATCTATATGACTAATGTAAAAATTGATCCTAGCAACCATTGACGGAACACATACTGATGAAAGTTGGGTTTTTTTAACCAGTGGCTTTGTTAGGGATGAGAGACTTGTGATGTGTCAGTTGCCCATTTGTGGTTGGAAACCTTGGTGTTGCTTAAAATGGCTATAATCAATATTTTTATAATAAAAATGTGTGATGTGTTTAGCTATCCGGCCACAACTATGTTGGTTCACTATCACTGCTCTCATAGTGTCATTTTCACTGTTTTCAGTGAAAAACAGCAGGCAAACACAGGTAGAGAATAGCTGCCGAAGATAGTGGAGCATTTAGTAGTTAAAGGGACAGATATTTCCCTCAGGACCAAAAGCAGAGTGAAAATTGGATTTACAGCTATCAAGTGGACACAAACACTATTCCAAATTAATGATAACGTTGCTCCATAACTGCTGGATGTGTTAATAACTAACAAGTTTGCCATTTCGTGATGATATGTCAATGGTGTGTTGACAACTTGTTTCTGCTGCCCCCAAGTCGACAAAAAAATCATCTATTGCAGGTTAAAAGGAAAAACCTGCACAGCTGCTGATGTACTTAATGCTTTATATGACACATTTTGATGAGACCTTAGTACCTGCTGGCATTACAGAGTGGATATTAAATTGTTAAAGGAGGCAGTTTGGTAAAGTGGGCACCTACAGTGTAGCCTGCACTCTTGAAGTGAGGCTAGCTACTTTGCTTTTTGTCCCATTTTTATGTTCATATTACCAATTACATATATTTTATAGTTAATAGTGATAAGGGGCCACTAAAGCGGGCTCTACCCCCCGTCCACCAGTTCAGCTGTATGATACTGTAATCTGGTACTTTGGTACCCTTTATCAATCAAATAGCGCCACGTCCTCTCATCTGAACCTCTCCAAGTCAAAATCTTCTTGACACACTCGTCCTATGGGACATGGAGCATGTCAGTACTTTAACTCTTTTCTTATAGCATTAGGCTGGATTACTGCCTCAGTGTGATGTGGGCACGACGTGTAGCCAGGGAGCGTTTAGAGGTGAAGTGCAGGGTATCTGGAGCTGGCAGTCAGCTCGCCGTCACTGATGCTCATGACTCGTACTGGGGACAATATAAATAAAACTCAGTAGCACTTAAATTTATAATTTATAACGTGACACAGATAAGTGGGATGAGCGTGAATAGGTATTATTTTTCATTGTCAATCTCACTTCTGTTCTCTCTCTCTCTCTCTCTCTCGCTCTCTCTCTCTCTCTCTCTCTCCCCCTCTTTGGTTCATTGAAACTTTATTGCCTTTACTGACATTTAGATTTGAAGAAATATGTTGCCAAAGCATTTAATAATAATAATAATCTTTATTTATAGAGCACTTTTCAAAACCACCAATCCATATACATGGAAACTAAGGTAAAAAATACATACAATGAATAAATAACATTTTTACTATAAATAATACATTAAATTAATCAACTAATGTGTGATAACACAAAATAATTTCTTTTTATATGAAAAGCAGGCCATATGGGCTTCACTGTCTGGCCCACACATATGGACAGGAGGATCGAAACGCCTGGCTATACGTTGCACAAAAAAATCAGAACCATACACTAATGATTACAAAAGAAGGAGAAAATAACCATAAACTGGAGTGTGAAAAGGGTAGAGTGGGATGGAAACTGTCACAGCAACCCCAGAAATTACGTTTATATACAACTAATTTCTAACAGCAAACAAGCTTGAAGTAAATGTACAGTTATGCCACCAGGATTACATTTTTTTTTATCAACGTAGTGTAGAACTATTGTTTTGGAAATGCACTAAAAATATTGACTGTAGTATTTCATTTGTTTTCCATACACTATTTCTTCATAGCACCTAATGCATTATCAAACCCCTAACCCTGCACTCTGACATCCTCGCTATGACATGCAAGCAATACAAGAATGTAGCGCATGCTTCACAAAAAAAATAAATGCTTGTTAACATAATCTAGGTAGCAACAATATTTCCCAACATAACTGGTAAAAATGAATTACTGTTATATAATGTAATTTCTTGGAGACCAGGTCCAGTGTTGGTGTAGTACAATGCTAAAAGATAATCCCCCCACTACCCCTTCTGTTGTCATTATCTGTCATTCCTCCTCTTCTCTGGCCATGATTGGCAACCAACATTTCTGTCTGTTGTTGTGCTTTAGACAAGCCATCAAAACAGCAAAAAAAACCATTCATTATTTATATCCATCATTGAGGTTTTGTGGTCTTCATGATGGCACCTGCATCATGTGTGTTTGTACATGCGTCTGTCAAGTCTGTTCATATGTCTTTGTCACTCGTCCTTTCTCTCATCTCCCACTCACTCCCTCCTGTTTTTTCTCAGAGGAATTGGTATTCAGATTAAACTGCCTCACTCGTCTGTTCATGTGGAGCCGAGTAGTGTTGTTGGATTAAAATGGGTCACAACAAAACTGATCATAA